CAGTAAAGATAATACGACAATAATTCCATGTAAATTATGTGTATCTATAGACGGCAGCTTGTGGAACTCCGCTAGCAGACGAGACAAGCTGGTTGAACGCCATAAATAATAGTTCCGTAAAGTTAGGTCTTGTTTGTATCATAATCTTAACTTTTTGATGAATTTCATCCGATAATTTGTTTTGCGCTGGCGGGGTGAAAAAGTGGATTCCACGTCTAAATAAATGCGTAGAAATAATGGAGACTATGCAGAAAAATAGCTCAAAGATCAACGTTAAATGGCAAATTCGGTTTTTCAAATAAAAAATTCCTTGTGCCTGAAAAATCAATCAATCCTAGTCCGTTTCGAAAACTTACATCTTCCCTAGCACTTCTCTTATTGTTCAGTTCGAGGCGTTCATATTGGACTAAAATCTATATATAATCTAATTCTATAAATTATTCAAATCTTGTTTTTTAAATTATTATTTCTTAGATGAAACTGTACAAAAGATTGGAATGTTGGGTTTCCCATATCTATAGTACATTTCATATATACTAAGTGACATATAAATCCGAACGCCCAGTTTAAATGGTTTTATTTTTGATAAAAATTGGTGAATGTATTTATCTTACTGTAAATAACAAGTGAAAAAATGTTCAGCCTTAACAGATGGACATTCCGGTTTTTATACTGCTTTTTTTTAATTCACTAACGCTCTAAAAATGAATATTTCAGCCGCGGTAAAGAATCAACGTTGGCGGATTTTGGTTCTTGACATCCTTTACGATCGGTTACGATGCCTAGAGTACGGAGACCTGTACGATTTCGTCAACTTAGTGAGTTTGATAGGGGCCGTATAGTGAGACTTCGGGAAGCTGGACTTTCTTTTTGGGCAATTGCAGTTAGAGTGCAAAGAAGTGTAGACACTGTGGTTAGGTGTTGTCAGGCATGGCTTCGAGAAGGCCGTACGCAAAGAGCAAGGGGCACTGGACGCCGCCGTAGAACAACAGACCGTGAAGATCGCCGCCTAAGATTATTGGCCTTAAGGGACCGTTTCTCCACTACCAGGTCCATTGCAAACGAATGGTTTGCAGAACACGGAAGACCTATTGGCATGCGAAGAATGAGAAGTTTTGGCTTGTTTTCATACCGGCCACACTGGGTCCTCCCTTTAACTCGGGAACACCGACGTAATCGCCTTGAGTGGTGCAGACAACGGTCACTCTGGGATCAGGAATGGAACAGTATTGCCTTTAGTGGCGAGTCTCGATTTTGTTTAGGCATGCACGATGGTCGTGCCAGGGTTAGAAGGCGACGTGGTGAAAGGAGGAACCCACAGTTTTTTGTTGAAAGACATGTTCATCACACTGTTGGAATTATGGTTGGGGTGCTATAGCTTATGGTTCCAGGTCACCTTTAATCTTCATCAGAGGTAACATGAACGCGCATCGTTATATCCACGAAATTCTAGAACCCCATCTTTTACCCTATCTTGACACCCTGGTAGATCCAACTTTCCAACAAGATAATGCCCGACCACATGTTGCAAGAGTCACAATAGACTTCTTTCAACATAATGATGTCACATTGTTACCATGGACACCAAGATCTCCCGACTTATCCCCAATTGAGCACGTGTGGGATATGATGGGTAGGAGATTGCTCAATTTGCAACGTCCTCCTCAGACTCTAGAAGCACTTCGAGAGGAGTTGGTGGTTGCCTGGAATGAGATACCACAGGAGGACATTGACCACCTGATCAGAAGCATGCCTAGGCACGTTGGAGAATGCGTAGCACATCAGGGTGCATCCACACATTATTAAAGGTCAAAGGGCTTTAAAGCAGTGCAATCATTTTGAAATTTTTATCATTTACTTCATTAAGTACTTATACAAAATTTTATTAAAATAAAACCATTTAAACTGGGTGTTCGGATTTATATGTCACTTAGTATATGTAATGTGCATCACTTAGTCTAAGATGAGATTTCTTGAATCTTCATCTATGTGTTTTCAAGATGAAACTTACCGTTTATGAATGTTATATGAGTAGAACAGCTTACACGAGGGTTGCCTTCTTCCAACCAAAATACGTTTAATCCGAGTCCGAAAGTAGGGTTTTAACATAATTATAAGATATTTTCGACCGGCATTTCAACTAAAAACTATCTGATAACGTGCACTGTTACTGCACCGAAACATCTCTCCATTGTGCATCAGGTATATATTTACCTTACAAGAACGTTTTCATTACCGTTGGAAAAAAGCCTTTTCAACTCGTTTTATTATTTTATTACCTATTATCATGTCAAAAGTTAGACATTCAAAAAACCCTTATTTGCGAACATTGACCCTGTATAACATTTTACTTCTTACGGCTACTAGGTCAACGACGAAAAAACTTTGTAGTTTTTGAAAATCGGTCCAGAAAAAGGCCAAAAACGAAACAAAAAATTAAACAGCTGAAACTTTTTTTTTTCGTCGTTTCAGAGGATCATGGTCATTTTTTTTTAATACTTAGGGGTAAAAAATTGGGTTGCAGGAGATTATAGGGAGTGGGCGAGGGTCTATCTGAATTTTGTATGTTACTATATTAATACACTTCCAACTCTGGTAATGAAAAAAAAAAGGAGAAAAATATCGGCCTATCGGTCGCATATGCCGTATGCCTCGGGGTTATTTATAGATACTGGTGCTCGATCGTTACGTCAATTTACTAATACAAGTGATCTAAATTCATTGGACTATAAGTATTGAAAGGTACTAATAACCAAGTGCAACCTTGGTTCTTGGTCACTCCTAACGAACAAAAGCTAATTTTGTCCGAAGCAAGAGCAAACTGTCAAGTACAGATGTGAAGACTACTACTCTCAGCATCCACATCCGCGTCTTATGTGATAAAAAATAATCCACCTCCTGGTATATGAAAAAGCTTTTAAAGTGTTAAATATAATTTTTCGTTCATGGTGCGGCTACTTTTTCTTTTTAAAACATGAAGCTTGTTGTGAAAACTGATTGACATCCTATATTCCTACTAGATTTTAACACTCAAACTTAGTAGTAAGTCAAATCCTAGATCGTCTATCAAAACACAGGCGCCTTAAAAAAAGTGTTTTAAGATTTCGTCAGAATTCCATAGCAACCGAGGCCTAAGCAACTTGTGAAACAAACACCCACGATATAAGGCACTTAAACGCCGAAGGTAGGTTAAACTTGAAAAATGCGTCACTACCGAATTCAAAATGACGCGTTTGCATCGTCGATAAATCCGAAACGATAACGCCCATCAGCAGAGCTATCGAACTTCTTCCACAACGTGAAGCGCGTCTATCGCATACACGCGAGAGTGAAACAAACGAAAAGCCAGTTTTATCGGCGGCTCGATGTATGGGAAAATATAAGCCGATAAGCGTCAGCCCGAATATAGACAGACCACGTGACCTGTTTTGTGCCCTGCTGTCCGTTCGCTCTATCTGCTGTTTTAAGCATTCATTCATTGGATTTTTAGCTTCACTCGAAATTTGTCGCCTTAAATATGTTGTCATTAGGACTAATTAGGCAAAATCTACACCTGAAAAGATCCTTGCCTCTGAGATGGATATTTTTGAAGTAACCGAAATTACCGTAGAGTTACTTACAATACCGGCCGTGTCAGTATCAATCCATGATAAATACTGACTGATCACAGTAAATAAAATAAAAGTATAATATCTGAAAACATGTCGCCATAGGAGTACCTCAAGGATCTATGTTGGGTCCCGTACTATTTTCTTTGAATGTCAATGATTTAGAGCAGTGTTATCCTGATACTTATCTACGTGTTCTCCTGATAATGTCGATGTCTGTTGTTATATCGAACCAGTGCGATATTGTGTTAAAAAGGAAATGTAAATCGCTACGAGTATTTGAGATACTCAGGTGCGGTTTAGGAGTATTTGAATGCAGAAAAAACCTCCCTTTTGGGATCTCATATTCAAAAAAAAAAATTAAAAATATATATGGCTCAATGATACCTGCGGAAATACAAGTAAAGTCTCTGGGATTAAACCTTGATACAAGCTTGAAGTTAAAAACTATTGCCTCAAGTCTCAAAAATAAACTTACAAGCTTGCGCCATCAGATATCTAAAAACAGTTCTTTCTGAGAATCAGTTGCTTATTATTTATAATGCTCAAATTGAATCAAGGCTAAGGTGCGGTTTGTGTTTCTCGGGTTGGACAACTAACGCCGCGAAGTTATTTTTGAGCCAAAAAAGAACAATTATGTGTATAGCTGGAATTAACAGCTTACGTTCTTGTGGAGATATTTTTAGAAAACTTAAAATCATAACTCTACCCTCATTGTTTTTAGATGAAATGTTTGTGTATGTTTCTAACAATAACGACAAGTTTTTAATTAATAAATTTTATATTACCAGGTATAACTTTGAATGCGCTTGATACAATACTTATATAAAATCTCATGATAATACTGGGAAGTGTTATTAAGCAGTCTCAGAAATTGTTTGTATAATTATTGTTGTTTGACTCATACATTTTTATTTATTTAAAAAAATCTACTTTGACGAATCGTATACATGTATTTTAATCTCTAAAAGGATAATAAATAATTTTAATGAATATTGAAGGCACATCTGATACGTCTATTTTTGATTTTCTAAAAAAAAAAAAGTAGATAAACCGATCTTGGAAATGAAATGTAAGCAAACTTACCCATCGCCTTGGCCTTGAGATATGAGTAATTTTCAGACTTACCTAGAAAAAAAAATATCGGTTAGAAAGAGTCTACAGAAAATTTTGACAACAATAACACTGTTGACAATAATAACACAGTGAATATGGTAACCAAATAAGTTCGTGCGGTTTGTTACCTGTTATCACATTAGCATGAATCCTTCTTTCTTCACACACATAAAAAGTTGCCGAAAAATGTAACATACCTAGTTTGCTGTTAGTGATCGAACAGCAGAAGTGGTACAAAAATTTTTTTTCGGGAGATCTCAGTTTGAGCCATCGACAGCGCTCAGGGAGACCAAAAATCATGAACAACGAGGATCTTCGACAGGTTGTGGACGCAAATTCCAGGACAACGTGCCAAGAACTTGCAGAAATGTTCAGAGTGAGTCCTGAAACTATTCGTTCGCATCATCATCAGCTAGGAAAGACGTGGAAGTTAAGCAAATGGGTCCACATGAACTGACAAATGATAACAAAATTAAGTCGTATTACCATTTGTTCAGCAAACATTTCACGCAACGCAAATGAACCATTTCTTAATCGGTTATTAACCTGCGACGAAAATATGCAATCTGCATATTATAAAATCTTGGGTAAGACTTCGAAAAAACAACCTCAGTTTAAGGTTTAATATGTTTTTGGCAACATTTGGGCGAGCACAAAGTGAAGACGTATAAGTATGCATTCTTATCTTGCAAATCTGACTAAACTAGGACAAATTGGAGGTATTAAATTTTAGCTATTTCCTTTCATCCTATTTTAGTCGAAACGTGTACTTTCAGCGTCCAATATTTGCAGTATTTGTGCATATCTGATTTTTCCTGATAGCAGATACCATAAATATATCATTATCTCGAACCATATGGCTAGAATGAAAGTAAAGAAGACACAAACAAATAGCTAACCGCATTTGGCCTTATCGCAACTTTGCATCGCCCCAGATTTCTAAAACACGCTACTAACTACAAATTCTTTTTTCTCATTTCTATAATACATATTATTTCAGCCTTATCGTGTATCGCAATAATTCATATACTTTACCGATTACTTAAGTCCGCGCCAAAGTGGGGCACAGCACACTTTGTTTCCATTGCAATTAAAATAAGAACAAAGACTTGATACACTTTCCAGTCCGTATGTACGAGAACAAGCGATAATGTTACAGCTTTTATGTTGAAAAGTTTGCAAGTTATTTTTCGTGTACTTTTAATTTCTTCGTTTTGAATTCGATCCTCACGAGATAAGGGATACGAAGTCGCTTAAATGATAATAAGTTACAGCTTGTTGTGTTCTAGGAAAATCGTACTATGCCGTGGGGTGCTGGACTTGAGCCCCAAAGCCCCCCCTAATACCGCAACGAATGTGTATCCCTATGTGTAACTCTGGCGAGATGTTATTTTTCGAATCAATCATTTAGCATTACTTTTGCGACATAGAAGGTCGAGTTTAACAATCATATATTATTCGGATGTAATAGAATAATAGAGAATAATAGAGTGCTATTTATTCAAAAGCCAGACATCCTGGACAAATTAATAAAATTCGTTAAACCTTTTGGCATGCGGATTTTAAGCAAAGTATGTTTGTATAATTTGTTTCTGGCTAATGGGCTGAGATCAGTCTAGGGCCAAAATTATGTTAAACCAATAATCGCAATCGCTTAAATGTAATTTTATTGCTCGTATGAATATTATAAATTATCGCATATATATTACAGTCATATCTCCGAATATAGCACTATCGGACTCCTTATACGCACAATAAAAAATCGTTATTAGGACACATACAGACTTTCACAAACTTTAATAACCTATAAACCTTGAAGACCTTTCCCATTTACCGTGACGAAATTCGTGCAAATATTACAATTGCACGTTCCAATATACACATTCGAAGGCTGCATTTTTATCGGTTTGCTGCTGCTGCTGCTGCTGCGATACAGCTTCGGTTTTGCTGGTGCTAAAAAACTTGAACTTGACCCGATCTTGACACAGTTACGTTGTCTGAGCATGACATGGCGATCGGCCATGTCGTGGCGCTTGCTGCCCGATTGCGATGCAAACTGTTATCTTTTCCTACTTTCTTTCTTGATATTTTTATACAGAGCGGTCATTGCTGCGTATAAAAATATCTAAAGACAAGTAGTTTTGCGGAAACTTCGCAGAAATACAAAGAACGATCGTTCTAATATTTGACTTTTACGAAAATCTCTGAAGAGAAAACCCTACATAAATTATAATTAGTAGAAAAAAGTTTTAGCAGCTTTCCCGACGACTCTGAATTATTTTATCAGATCTTTTTATTTACTTCAGTTTTTTCGCCTGTAAAATCAGGCCATGTCGGATAGTTTTCGAGAAAAAAAAATCAGTTGCATGAGGTTCCCAGGCGTCTTATCAATTTAAAGAAATTAGAGCCACACTGACTCAATAACCGATGAAGGATCATCCCTTTCCAATAGAAGTTTCTGGCGTTCGGGATAAAAAGATTGAAATCCCTTGTGTTTCTTTTTCAGTTGCAATTGTCGTCACGTAACATTTTTTACTATTTTGATCACTTACTAGAAACTTGAATTTCTCTTTATTAAAGAGTGCCCATTCCTAAGCCAAACCCCTTTCAATGATTTTCTTTTGGTAAATTTCATAGTTTACTGACTGTATAATTTCACATTTATTATATCTTTCTTTGTCTATTGGTTCAGTTTTGTGTTGAAATCTTTTGGACAATAATGTTATAGTATTACTAACGACTATCTCAAAAATCTCCTCATAAAATATCGTTGGTCCCTCGTAGTCGGTTTTCTAGGGTCCGAACGTTGGCAATCAGCAAAAAACTCTCGTCGTTTTTCTGCGTTATTTGGCTATTTTTGGAACATGTCTTCTTCAAGGTCACTCATTGAACCTTCCTTTGTAAAGCTAGGTTCTTCGTGTCAATTACTTTGCTCCTAAGATTGTGATGTGGGCGCCGTTTGTTTAACTTCCAGATTCTCGAATTTTGTTTTAGTTTGGGTGCTACCCCGTCCATTTTCTAATGGGATTTTAACCTTCAGCGAGCGAAGGCATTGTGGAGAACCACCGCACACTCCTCCTTCTTTTGCCTTGAAGCTGTTTTGCAGATGATATTGCAGGAAGCCACCCCTTCCCGTTGACCAAAAAAACCCTGTTCACATCAATTTGGTCATTTTCAGGCTCTAGTTACACCCCCCTGGCCCACCGATATGTGCGCAACGACTTACTTTTGATTTCTTGAATGAATTAAGGTCTATATTTTTTAGTAGTCGTTCTCCGCCTATTTTCACTAGATGATATAAAACTGTACAGCTTGTCAGCTGGAGACTATTTAATGGCACGCAGAGCGCCCTCGTGGCCCGTAGCACCATCTTATTGTATTCCGCGCGAAAAAAGCGTTCGCCTGTACGCACCAGCTTGCTGACCGTACGGCCTGTGACCCACTGACCCACTTTGCAGTTCGTTATGTCACTCGACGTTCGATTGCAGATAAAGTTGCTGCAACGACCGCCTAATCTGAACACCACACGTGTTTTTTCTTGCTTCGTCGCTTCACCTGGATGCTTTTCGGGTTCTCGGCCAATGGGAATGCAGGACAAGGGCGGATCTTTTCCGGCTCGATTTTTTCACGCGCTCTCGAGTCGTTTCAGCTGTACCAATTACAAATTACTTGACAGGTGTCGTGGAAATGTGTACCACTCGTGTGCCTGATTTTGCTTACACCTGGATCACCGGTTATTTTAATATAAATTTTGAAATAAAAAATAAGTTTTGTTATGTAAACTCAATAAAGATACCATCATTACTTATTGTCAAGCGGAGGGACGTATATTGAATCTTTCCTCAATGGTCTTATCAGGTTTGGTTACCCACATACCGAGCACCACCAGAGGGGAAAAATAAGGCAAGAAAGACAAGATCAAAGAAACGGAGTGGATTAGTTGGAGAGGAAAATGCATTGTTTCAGTACTGTGCCATTTTTAGAGTGACCAAATTCGACCAGGTCATAAAATATTTGTTACTCTTCTTCCATAAGATGAACGAAGGTGACCCACGGGGCTCAGTTATATGTCCAATGTTGTTTCTGAATTACATTAATAACCCCGGAGTAGGCAACCAAGGAATGGGGTAGTTGAAGACTCAATGAAGACCTTCCTGTTATTACTGCTGAGGTACTACTGATATGGAGTGTATAGACGTTAATCCTTAGACGCGCATAGAAAACTTGACTCGGTCATTCCAAGTTTTAACGTCGCACGTCCCTCTTTTCAGCAGCCTATCTGGATGAGTAATCTTAAAACTATTAAAATGTTATCAGTTTCGGTTTTAAAATGATGCAACGCAAAGCACCATCTATCATCAGAATCTAGCTACTATTTGTCGGACCTATAAATATCTCAGTTCGCGTTTAATAGCCCAGTCATCATGTGACCGCTAGACGGCTGACGATGCTGGTTGTATAGTAGATGTGGTCTACTTGCCGTTGAATAAACTAAACATGATCCTGTCTGTCCGACCAAAAGACAGCCACCCATGGACAGTTGTTTCGAACTTCTTGGCTACTCATCAGCATCGTCTAGGTTTGGTCTCTCGACTCTGGGACAATGAATGAAAGCATTGCAACTATCCTCTGTCCAGGAGGTACGGCACGCATAAGCAGTAGAAAATACAACTTCAATTTGCATCAGTGTATGCGTAAATCATTTAAATAAACGTAAGAACAAAATAAAACTCGTATATCTAAGCTTCAATGTTAAGAGACGCCTGTGGCAGAACGTTATTTCTCGTATTTTCATCGCACTTATCTGATAGAGGATTTCACACCTTTTTTGACGTCTCCGGCGTTTTTGCTTGTTGCTGTCGAATCTCTTGCCATGGGCGTTCATATCAAATGCTACAGGGGTAATTTCTATTGCGACGATGTGTGAATTTTGCCATCAGGCCAGTTTTTTCAAGGAAAAATACATTTTGGAGACCAGTTGATTTGTAGCATTGTAGGAGATCTTCTAACGATTAAATATAAAAACAAATACCTCCATATTCAGTATCACTGTTATCATCTTAAATACAGGATGACTTCGAAGTTGAGTCATTTATTTTAACAGTGAGTAGATCTGATCAAAAGAAATGTTTTTTTCCTTTAACATTTTTCTGGTAAAATTAAAGTAACAAAGTTTGAGTACCGCCCTGTCTCAATAATAATATTATGTGCTCGTGTTTGGCAACAACGGATATAATCCGCCTTATCGGTTCATCGCATCGGAAACAAAAAAGCGAAAGAATTTGGAACGATGTTTTTACAATTATTTTATTCAGTTGTATACAGTCAGTGTCAGTCGGTAACGCGTGAGTAAATGGTGGTGTCTGTTGCGTGGCCCAAACGAAATAAAAAATGGCACTTGTTTATGCGGATCGGTTTGTTAATGTAGCACAATGGGCTCGTGAATCAGGTGACTTAAGACCTCACAGGGGACGGCATGCCGGTGCTCCAAGACCTCACGATTAAATACAGATCCGCACTGAAATACTTGTCGGGAGGATACTTTATAAAACAAGGTAAATTTTTTTTTATTTTTACAC